GACAGAGTTTTCCTAGAGTTTTTCGAAGGTTTCCCCCCGAGTTTTTATGTTGGATTTCCTTTATAGTTTTTTTTCTCCCACGTTTCGGTTTAGAGATTTTCTGAAGTTCTTGTTTGGTTTGAGTTTGTCCAGGTTTGAGCTTTAGGGTTTTTCTTATGTTTTTGTGGGTTTGAGTTTTGAGCAGGTTCGGTGCTTGAGTTTTTTTTCAGGATGTCGACCCCCCCAGGTTTTGGTTTCAAGATTTCCTGGTGTTTTGTCCTGGTTTGGGTTTTTGGGCCCGAAGTGGTCGTGGACCGCCTCTAGTGGCAATTCGCGAACCAAACTACAGGAGGCGGAGGCGATCACGGGCCTCACCGTAGTCGAGGCGGATGCTCTCGAGGAGCGGGCTGTGCAGGAGGGGGACGCTGAACGGGTGCTGGTGCGCGATGCGCTGGCGGGCGCCGTGCGCATTGGCAGGGCGCTCGACGCGACGGTGCGCGCAGCAAAGAAGGTCGGCCGGGGGGGGGGGGTCATGCGTGTCGCGAGCGCAGGCGCCCCGAAAGGTTCGTGATGGTTTCTGTTTATTTTCTGGGCCGTTTCGGGGTATTCCTGTTCGCGACCGGGTTGTCGTGGGCTCGTCCGGCGGCTGTGTGTGGGGGGTGCTACAGGGGGGGTCTTGATCCAGGCTTTTCATCGATATGTGGCGGCGTCCGCTGCTCCGTGCTGCCCCCCGCGGTGTTTTGTGGTGTCGGTCTTGCCTGGGGCTGTTGGTGGGGATTCGTCGGGATGGCAGGGTCGTAGCAGGGTTGGGGTCGTTCGGGCTCTTTCGGTTGTCCTCGGGCAGAGCGGGAGGGGGGGCTGATGTCCTGGGGCTAATCTGGGGTGTTGGGGGTTGTTTGGGCGCGGTTTTGATGTGGGTTTGGGATGTGGGGCCGATCTGCTACGATCGCATGCAGTCCCGAGGTTGATCTGGGTCCTTCGGGTTCGTCCGCCCGCTCTCTGGAAGTTGCTCCGGGGTCGTTTGTGTACCTTTGGCCATGCTCGTGAAGATGTGGTCGCCCCTGTTGCAGTATCCGCTTGCTTGTGCGCTGATCGGCCGGGGGGGGGGGGGGTGGGGCGCGGGCGGGGCGCGCTGCCGCGTGGATGGGTTCGGAGGTCGAGGGCGGCCGCTACAGCGTGACGCTCGTGACTGTGAAGGAGGGGAAGCGCGGCGCGGAGGGCGAGCCAGGCTGGCTGCCGGGCGCATGTCTTGTGGGCTCTTTGTTGTTGGAGGTGTGATTTTGGCAGGGTCTGCGAGGGCCGTGTGTGGGTGCGGCGCGTGGCTGTGCTATCGTTTGCCGTGTTGATGTGTGAGTGTAGTGTGCTTTTGCGTTCCGTTGCATCTCGCTCGATCGGTTGGTGGCGTCTCGCGTATCTAGAGAAATTCATCTAGGAACGATGCCTCTGATGTCTTGTCTACTGTTTGCGAGACGTACACGTGCTGCGATATCGTGGCCGACACAGGGCGTGTTGAGACGTTCGAGCCCGAAAGGGTGGTGTTGCTGCTGCTGATGATGCGGGTGTGTGTGTGTGTGTGTGTGTGTGTGTCTTGCCGCTGCGATTGTGGGAGCTGGCGGCGCTGGCGCTGGCGCTCGTACTCCTGCTGCTGTTGCTGTTGTTGCTGGTGCTGCGGGTGGGGGTGGCGCTGCTGCTCTTCGTGCTGGTGGTGGTGACGCTGATTGTGCTGCTGCTGTTCCTGGTGGTCTAGTTGGCGCTGTCGTTTTTGCGGTTGATGGTGCTGAGGTTGGTGCTGTTGGTGCTGTTGCTTCTTCTGGTTGCTGGCGATGCTGGTGGTGCCCCAGCCTGTAGTGTCTGTGCAGTTGGTGGTGGCGCGGCTGTGCTTGGTTCTGGTGGTGCTGATGGTGCACTTGGGATTCCTGTTGCTGCTGTTTGTGCTGTTGCTGCTGTTGCTGTTGGTGCTGCTGTTGTTCGTGTTGCCGCTTCTGGTTGTGCTGCTGTTTCTGGTGCTGCTGCTGCTGCTATCGCCGCTGCTGGTCTTGCTTGTGGTGCTGGTGATGCTGGTGTTGATGCTGGTGCTGCTGATGTGACCGTCGGTAATACTTTTGTTGTTGCCGGTGTTGCTCGTTCATCAGCTGGTGTTGTTGCTGGTGTTTTCGGTACTTGTGGTGCTGCTAGTGTTGCCCGTGCTGCTTATGCTGGTGCTGCTTGGTATGATGCTGTTGCCGGCGTTTCTGACGGTGTTGTTAGGGGTGCTGCTGCTGGTGCTTCTGGGGCTGCTGAAGCCGCTCTTGTTTGTGCGGCTGGTGGTGTGGTTGCTGCTTGTGATGGTGCCGCGCTTCTGTTGCTGCTGGTCTTGCTGTTGCTGCTGGTGCTGTTGCTGGTGCTGCTGTTGCTGGTGCTGCAGTCTCTATTGCTGCTGTCGCGTCTGCTGCCGATTGTGTTGCTGGTGCTGCTGGTGCTGGTGGTGTTCGTGCTGGCGCTGCTGGTGGTGACGCTGTTCTCTGTGCTGCTGCGTTGGTCGTGTTGCTGCTGGCGGTCTTGTAGCTGGTGCTGTTGTTGTTGTTTTTTGTTTTTGTTTTTGTTGTTGTTGTTGTTGTTGTTGTTGTTGTTGTTGTTGTTGCTGTCTTGGTGGTGCTGGTGTCCTTATCTCTGCTGTTGGTTGTTGTGGTGCTTGCGTTTCTGCTGCTGCTGCTGCTGGTGCTCCTTGTGCTCGTGCTGCTCATGGTGCCGCTGTGACTGCCTCCGTTGTGGGTTCTAGTGCTGCTCCCTGTGGTTGTGTTGCTGGTGTTGTTCTGCTGGCGTTGATGTGCTCGTGGTGCCTCTGTTCGGATGGCTGTTGCCTGCGCTGATGCTGCTGGTGTTGTTCGTGGTGCTGGCTCCGCTGCTGGTGCTGCTGTTTGGGTGGTGGTGCCGTTGGTGCTTTCGCTGGTGTTGGTGTAGGTGGTTGCGCTGCTGGTGCTGTTGCTGGTAGTGATGCTGATGCTGGTGCCGTGGCTGCTGCTGGTGCGTCTGGTGCCTGTTCTGCTGCTTCTGTGGCTGGTGGTGGTGGTGGTGCTCGTATATCATTATGTTTGTGATGGTGCTGCGGTCGCTGGTGTCCTTGCTGGTGCTTCTGCTGATGCTGCTGGTGATGCCGGTGGTGCAGTTGATGCTGCTGCAAGTGCTGCTGCTGGTGTTGCTTGTGCTTCTGGTTCTCTTGGTGATTGTGGCGCTGCTATTGCGCGTGATGTTGTTGTTGCTGTCGCTGGTTCTGGCAGTGTGTTTGCAGGCTTCTATGGCGTTTGGAGGCTTCTCTGGGCGTCTGAGAGTGGTCCTTTGTGAACTCGGGGTTCTTCTGGAAGCTCTAGGCGCCCTTCTGGAGTGGTGATGGCCTGTCTTCGGGCCTTCGTGGGTGATGGGGCCATCTCAGAGGCTCGCTCGAAACGCTCAGGGAGCGCCCATGAGCGCTGAAGGGGGCCGAGAGCGCGAGGGAATCCCACCAGCCCTTTAGGGCGTAGGTGGTTTAGGGAGTTTCCTCTGCCAACCCCCTTCTTCCCCTTCGGGGAGGGGTTTACCCCTCCCCTTACCCCTCCCCACTGACCTGGACGGGGCGTTCCGCGGGTCGTTGGGACGGCCAAGATGGCCCAAGACATCTCCAAGAGCGAAAAGGCGAGAAACACACAAAACATTGATTTTACCTAGGTTTTGGAAGGATTTTGGCCTCTCGGGGGGGCCCAAGAGGCGACTCGAGGCACTCTAGAGGGGCAACGCTAATATACGACCCCCCCTTTTTTTGATAGCTCTCCTCCAAGATGGCCCCAAGAGCGCTCCGAAGGCTCCCAAGAGCGCCCCAAGAGCGCCCCAAGACGGCCCCACGAGGCCCCAAGAGGCCCCCAAGAAGCCTCCAAGAGGCTGCCAAGAGACCCCCAAGAGGCCCCAAGAGCCTCCCAAGATGGCCCAAGACGGCTCCAAGAGCGAAAAGGCGAGAAAGCAAAAAACATTGATTTTACATAGGTTTTGGAACGATTTTGGCCTCTTGGGGGGCCCAAGAGGCGACTCGAGGCACTCTAGAGGGGCAACGCTAATTGGGGACCCCCTCTTCTTTGATCGATCTCCTCCAAGATGGCCCCAAGAGCGCCCCGAAGGCTCCCAAGAGCGCCCCAAGAGCGCCCCAAGAGCGCTCCAAGAGGCCCCAAGAGGCGCCCAAGAGGCCTCCACAAGGCTCCCAAGAGACCCCCAAGAGGCCCAAGAGGCTCCCAAGACGGCCCAAGACGGCTCCAAGAGCGAAAAGGCGAGAAAACACAAAACATTGATTTTACCTTCAGGTTTTGGAAAGATTTTGGCCTCAAGAAGGGCCCAAGAAGCGATTCGAGGCACTCTAGAGGGGCAGCGCTAATTGGGGACCCCCCCTTCTTTGATAGATCTCCTCCAAGATGGCCCCAAGAGCGCCTCGAAGGCTCCCAAGAGCGCCCCAAGAGCGCCCCAAGAGGGCCCCAAGAGGCCCCAAGAGGCCCCCAAGAGGCCTCCAAGAGGCCCCCAAGAGACCCCCAAGAGGCCACAAGAGGCTCCCCGAGATACGCAAGAGGCCCCCGGGACCGCCAAGAGGCCCCAAAGAGGGCCCAAGAGGCCCCCAAGCTCGCCATTGTCCTCCTCCTCCTCTTCTTTTTCTTCCTCCTCCCTCCTCCCCCTCCCCCTCCTCCTCCTCCTCCTCCTCCTCCTCCTCCTCCTCCTCCTCCTCCTCCTTTCTCCTCCTCCTCTCGTCCTCGCAGTTCTCCATATCCTCCTCCTTATCTTCCTCCTCCTCCTCCTCCTGCTCCTCCTCCTGCTCCTCCTCCTGCTCCTCCTCTTCCTCCTCCTACTCCTACGACGACGGCTCCTCCTACATCCTCCCCCTCTTGGGGTATATGGCGGCTCACCCCGCCCTTTGTTCTTCTGCATGCTCCCCCGCTTCCCTCATAACCTCCACTCCCCTGGGACTCATTTCTGGACGGGCTGGTGGGGATACGCGAAGCGTCTAGAATTTGGGGGTTTGGCCTCCCAAGAATCTGCAGTCGTCGACCTTTTGGGGTTGCAGGAGCCTTGTGGCAATCCACTTCGTGTCAAGGGCACGGTGGCGGATCTCTCTCTCTCTCTCTCTCTCTTGGAGGTGTGCTTTGGCATAAGGCCATGCAAGAATGCTAGGCACTTGGTTGTTGGTGGGCAAGTGGACGCTGATCCCGTGCATTGCTGTTTGTTTTGCCGCGTCCGCCCAGCCGCGTCTACGTGAGCATGGGCGACTCGCGCTGATTCGTGGCGCCTGAGCCGGTGAGGAAGAGGAGGGGGAGGAGGAGGAGGAGGAGGAGGA